GAAGATTAATGTGCAATTTCTCATTTTCCTCGGAAAATCTTCGGAAAAATCGTCAGAAAGTCAGTAACAAAAACAACAACATATTTAGGTCAGCTTTCTTTTCGCTTAAAACTTCCAGATTTTCCGAAAAACCCCAGGTGTAACACAGGAAAACTTACTGTTTGATCCGAAGCCAGTATCGAAATTAATTGACGAGAAACGTAAATATAGCTATATTTCACTGATTGAAATAGAAGGAGACTCTCTCAGGACTCACCCTTGATTTAAAAAAGATCGAACGGATCTAAAGGGTAGAAATTTCTAGGCTACGGTTAATAAGTAGGTATTTCGCTGTAAACCCACCCTCATTTTGTCATTTATCTGATTTTTTTTCAAATGCTCCCTATTTTATCCTTGAATGTTATTTTCTCTGTTTCAGGAGTACATGTCGCCAGCTGCTAATCGGTATGTACAGCCATTATATTTATTCTTGCATTCCAAAATGATGAGTAAATTCATAACAGCTAATTGTTCATTTAAAAGAAAAATTGTGGTCCTATCTATAAATGTTGAAACTACGCTTGCAACTATTCGAACCCTGGAGTTGGTATGTGGTATCACGCGAAAATTAAGGCAGATCTTGGCTTTTGCCTGTCTTAGATTACTGACGCTTATGAATGCCGTGATACCAACTCAGATTGAAAACACGCACTCTTTTGTGTTTTATTAAACCGCTGGGCAAAATTGCGTATTTGCCGCGATATGAAAATGAGTATAGCTTTTGTGATTTTACAAAACCGCTGGAACAAGCGTGTATTTTGCGCGATATTCGGATGAAAAAGGCGTAACTCTTCACTCCTGTATAAAATACCGTTGGTTAAATCGCGTTATTTGACGTTGGTGAATGCCGCGATATTCAGGTGAAAAGCGCGTAACTTCTCACTCCTTTTCAAAAACCGCTGAATAGACGCGTCTTTGCCACAAAAGTATGGTGATACACACGACGTGACATATTTTGCGTGTTACTGAATCGCTGTGCGATTTCCATCTATAAGGAAGTATGCTTAGGAAAATAACTCAAAAATTCCACCCTGTGACTGGTCATCCGAGACACGTTGCTAGAGATGACGACATGATTTTCCACCTCTTTCATGATTTCCTGACTGCTTGCATCGGCTACATTATTTATTGCCCGTATCTAACATTCTTCACTGAGAAAAAACTATGGCTTATAAACCTATTAGAGGTAAATATGGAACACCACTAATAGTAGTACCTCTACATATAATAATAGCACATATACCTTAGTTATGGTACGGGGTACCTTAATTAGGTACAGAGACCTTAGTATGGTTCACAGACCGAGAATCATTAGTTTATTTACGACTATTATAGGTGTTCCATATTTACCTCTAATAGGTTTATAAACCATAGTTTTTTCTCAGTGTTGGACCGATGTTTCAAAAATTTTCATACGCGCGAAAATATGTTTGAAAAAGAACACGAAGAGCCATGCACAAAATGGCCCGATTTTGGGCCCCTCTGAGGTTGTTTTCATCCTTTGGATGACCCCATACTGCCTATAAATGCACTGAAATTTAAGACTGAATATACGAACCGTTTGCGCGTTATTGGGGGAGGGGGCAAAGGCCCCGATTGTCACTCATTTCTGAAGGTATTTTAATGTCTATATTCGACTGTGACACGTTACATGACTTGACGCCACTTTGAAGAGGAATGAATAAGCCCAAGACGTCCTCCAGGACGTATTTTGGATCGCTCAACAAAATGTAACTGACTTTTGGAGTTTATTAGGTCACATATGGCGCCTAAAAATTAGTTGAAATTGTTAAGATTTTTACTTGAGTTGAACAGGATTTGTAGATGGCCGCCATTTTGAAGCTTTTGATGACTAAGTTTTGAAATTTTAGGTGACCCCTCTTCAAGCTTACGCTGATGCCTGTGCAAAATTAGGTGGTTATCCGAACAAAAGAGACGTGAAGAGGTTTTGAGCAGCTAGATTGGGGTTTTGACACACTGTGCGGCGCGTGCTGCCAGCGCAAAACGAGCACTGGCGCCTACAAACCTAAAGGGATACTTCACGTATTGCGCAATGCTTGAAGTATCCCTGTAGGTTTTTAGGCGCTGGCCGCCCGGCCACGGCACGGCGCCTCAAGCAACTATTTCACAACAGAGGTGTTGCATAGTATCATTCGAAATTGAAGGCGCCCCAACATATTAAGAATGGCGGGCATCCTTTAAGAATACGCGGCTTTCCTCGCAAAATAAATCAAGATACTACGGCACCAAAAAATAGCGGTGGTCCGAAAACTCACCAAGTCCTAACATCGATATTTAATAATAATTAGAATAATTTTTTAATTTGATTAGAGAAAGAAGTGACTCGATTTAGGCAGAAACATTCTTGAGTATGCTGTCAAGAAGATTTTATTTTAAAACTAGAGTAAAATAGCTCAACGAAAGCTGTTTTCTGCTTGATGTAAGTGACTTTTCTTTTTCATACAATTAAACAAGCATTATTTTCTTCATTGATTTATAAGGAAATCTTCTCTACAGCAAAGACCATACTTCGGCTTGAATTTAGTCACTTTTTCCTCTAGTGCAGTTCAAAAATCATGCTAAACGTTATTAAATACAGGTACTAGGACTTATACAATTTTTCAAATACCGTTCTCTTTTTGTCGTCGTCGCTCGATCTACGTATACTTTGCGAGGGAACTTCGTTCTTTCGATGACATCAATAATGATATGTTGGGGTGACTTCAATCTCGTATGATACTGTGAAACACTTTTGTGGCGAAATAGTAGCTCAAAGTGCTGCGGTACGCCGGCGTCTTTGCGAAGTTATCGTACACAGGACAAATCTTAGAGCCTTTAGCTTAGCATGAGGCAAATCAAAAGGTTTATCCGGTCCAAGTACAGCAAGATGCGATTTTCTTGAAATATAATGAAGTCCTGTTGTACTGAAGAGGTTTAGAGAGTTTTAGTGAATTTTCCCTCATGGAATTGACGCTCCCCCTTTTTTTACCAAAAATCTCAATTATAAATTTTTCTCCTTTAGACCAATCAAAAACAAAAATAATCAAACCCTCATTATTCGAAGACATTATACATTTCCATCCAAAAATGTCGTGAGCAACTGTCGTTTGTATGTACGTATGGTCTCAATTGGTGAGTGGGCCAAAACTCCCCTGCAAAAAAACGCGTGCACGTAAACTACCAGAAAGAACAGGTGCGTGGACGATAAATCGTTGACGAAATGTCCTACAACCAGAATTATAATGACGAATGTGGCTAACGGAGGGATTATGGCCTTTGTTCATCTATGAGAGCATTATTTTCCTAAGTATCTTCGATTTCGAATAAAGAATTGAAACAATGAAACGTTATTTCTGACTGCTGAGTCGGGCTGAAGTTTCTGGAATTCGCCAAAACTCTGCTCTGGTCTTGCATCAATTTTAGGTACCGTCGGGAGTAGAATTTTTTTCAAGGTTTAGGTTTTCTTAGGTTCGGATTTTTGCTCTGTTATTTGTACCGAAAGAAATGTTGATGTACATTTGCTGCAACAGGAATTGAAGGTATCGGAGGACAAGGTGCACAATTGCAGTTTTTCCTATTTTGAGAAATACATGTTTGAGGTTTCGAAATAAAATGGATCCTTATGGCGGAAATAAGGTTCAAACTGACTTTTTTAAGCTTAAAAATTGGAATTTAGGAGCGAATTTTTCGCATGATATGCATTGAGTCAAGTTTTACTTTAAATTAAATGTTTGACCATTTTCTTAAAAATTGCTTGAAATCATTAAGATCTCAATTTTTTCAAAAACTGCACTTGTGCGTTTTGCTCTCAAAGCCCCTCAATTGTCATTGAATCAACCGGAAACTTTTTCAAATCGACAAGACGTCTCCTCAAAGTATTAGGAATGTCTGAATCAAAAGAAATCTCCTGCTATTTCTACGAGAATTCCCTGTCGCGGCTTATTCATCAGGGATCCTTTATGATTCTAAAGGAAATTCACCTCTGCGCGCAAGAGGAGAGAGAAGAATAGGAGAACGGAAGAGGGGGAAAAGAGAAGGAAAAAGAATTCTTTGTTGTCGTATTTTTCCTTATATTTTTCGCCTTGCTTGTCATTACATTTAAAGGATGAGGGCTTGGATCTAGAAAATCCAAGAACGGCAAACCAGGGTTACCATTAACGGTAAAAGAAGCATGTCAATCACTGGAAAAAAACACATTGGATCTAGAGTCCAGACCCTTAAAAACATCGACGAAAATATTCTTGATTTAATCGGATTTTTGCTTAAATCAAGAATGAAGCTTCTTAATTTGAGCGGAATACCTTTTGATTTAAGCAAAAATCTAAGTGAATCAAGCGTATTTTTTCTTGTCAATGTTTTCAAGAGTCTGGACTCTAGATCCAATGTGTTTTTTTCCAGTGATAGTCAGAGGACACCCTCTTATCTCATCGTCACCTTAGCCAAGGCAACAGACCTTCACGGATTTTTCGTTTTCCAGCAGAGGTCCTTTAAGAACTCAACCTCGTGTGACATTTCCCAAATTCGGCAACATCATCCCCTCCCGCCCCCACCTCCACCCCCTCGGTAACTTTTTAGGCGACCGCGCGGACGCCCAGCGGCAACTTATCGAATTTGCGACGCTCCTCAAAGCTCATAATTGTCTCGGCGAATTTGAATGTTTCGCGTAACAAGTTGAACGCGCGGCACCCCCCCTCCCCTTCCTTCGCCCCCCCCCGCAAGGACGCGAAGGGCGCAGCAGCCCCCGAGCCCAGCTCCGATGCTGCGTCTCACGGCGGGGCACGCGTGGGGAGAGGGGGGTCGTTCCCCTGGCAACCAATGGCATAGTTGCCGCGTGGAACTACACTGCCGTGCGGGTTGCCGGCGTTCGGGGGGCGGGACGGCAACGCGCCGCGTAGTACTCCCATTCAACCCCATCGATCCCCAATCCCGTCGGCCGGCCGGCTGTTCAGTTGTGATTTGGCGTCCCTCGCAGCGGGAACGGTCGCGGCTTTTTTTTCTACTTTTCTAGCGTTTTCTGTCTCTGCCGTCGAAGGGGCTCCCGGGGGTTGATGTGCTTTCCGCGGTGGATATCGGAACCCAGCGCGCGAATTTCTCAGGACTGTTAACGGCCGAGGTAAGGATCCAACGCCTTGTTTTATACTTCCCGCACTGCGTGTGTATTGCCGGTGTGAGGGCGCCTGAGTAACTCTGCCGTGATACCGAAGAGAGCCGTGCTGATTTCACGTTCGCTAAAAAATCTAACTTACTGACGTATTTTACTACCTTGTTACATATACTGGGGGGGAAAAAACACATTGGATCTAGAGTCCAGACTCTTAAAAACAACGACAAGAAAAAGTACTCTTGATTCAATCAGAATCTAGCTTAAATCAAGAGCCAAGCCTCTTAATTTAAGCGGATTTCGTTTTGATTCAAGCAAAAATCCGATTGAATCAAGAGTATTTTTTCTTGTCAATGTTTTCAAGAGTCTGAACTCTAGATCCAATGTGTTTTTTTCCAGTGTACAGTTCGGGCGACATTTTCCAGCGTTTTTCTTCTTATTTCATTCGATTGCACAAATTCGCCGTTTAACCACTTCATTACAACCCTGCCGTGATAGCGAAGAGAGCCGTAAGTGCAAAATTTTCGAAATCGCGTTTTCTTCAAAATTCGTCTAAACTCTTTCAGATGAAATTACTGAGACAGCTGAAACAGCAAAATTCATCCTAATTTAATGAAAACGAGACGTATGAAAAAGCCGTAAGTCCACAAAAAATTACAGTTTTTTTCAAGATAGCCGTAGGTGCATGAGAGTCAATGAAAACAGTGCTTTCAAGAGGAATGCCGCCCTCATCAGCCGATTTCTAACCTGAAAATGTGTCTGTTGTGTGTCCAACACGCTACCACGAAAGCACGCAGAAGATAGCACTTTAACATGAAACTGAATTTTACCCCTTTCATGTGCTTTAAAATAAACCGGTCGAGTTTTAATCCCCCAAATGATTTCTAAGAGTCTATCGAATGATTGGTTGCGATTTGACAAAGAACGGAGGCTTCTTTCAATAAAATTCCACCCGGAAGCTTCTAGGCGCATTTTCTCAAAACTTCATTTTTGCACTTACAGCTCTCTTCACTATCACGGTAGAACTGTTTGAACGTTCCGGAGCGTGTTATGCCTACACGCACGAATGAAGGCGATTTTTCTGTTTGGGTTCAACCAAATTGTTTGTGGTGTGAACGAGAGCCTGTTGACGAGTTCAACGCTTCGGTATTCATTTTTGAAGCGATGAACGTACTGAGTGTATATAACCGGTGAGAAGGCGCCTGAGCAACTATTCGAACGTCCTGGAGCTCGTTTTGCCTATACGCATAATTGAAGGCGATTTTTCTGTTTGGGTTCAACCGAATTGTTTGTGGTGTGAACGAGAGCTGGTTAACGAGTAAAACGCCTTTTTGTTCATCTTTGAAGTGATGAAAATGTAGAGTCTCTCTCTCCAATAGTGAGTCTGGACTTCCATAATATTAACCGTAACTTTGTCGGGCTGACCTAGACCAAAAGACCATAAGCGTTTACATGTTGTTAAAAGTCTGTCGATAGATAATTATTTCTGAAATAAATACGTTGGATTAAATTACAAGACGGGTTCGATCAAAAAAAATGGGGACTTGAGTTATTTGACGGAAAATACACTCCATAGAGTGTTAAGAGCGTTCTTTACAAATTGTATTTTTTATATTTAAAATCGTAGAATAAATCGTAAGCTTGCTTTAAACGATGCAATTCAGGATCGCTCCAGATAATCAGATTATCTGGAGTGAATATCTTCAAGTGCTTTCTCAAAAGTGAGCCTTCAAGAGTAGATCAGAAAGATAGTTTTGAAAACTTTTTATCGCTGAAAATACAAAAAAAAAAAAAAAAAAAAAAAAAAAAAAAAAAAAAAAACATATTTTCAAATACTGTACACTGGTAAAAAAAAGTAGCTTGGATCTAGTGTCCAGACTCTTAAAAACATTGAAAAGAAAAAATACTCTTGATTCAAATGGAAATCCGCTTAAATCAAGATGCTTGGCTCTTCGATTCAAGAAAAATCCGATTGAATCAAGAGTATTTTTCTTGTCAATGTTTTTAAGAGTCTGGACTCTAGGTCCAAGCTACTTTTTTTTACCAGTGTAGTTACAGTTATACTCGTATGAGATTCCGAGCTCAAAGAAAAAAACCAAGGGTAAGAACTTCAGGGATTTTTTATTTAGCGTGGATCTTTCAATGTTGAACATACAAATAGGATTAGAGAGCTGCTTCGCGTTTTTTCTGGCTAAAACATGAATTAAACTGATTAAAATTGGAATTTTCGGATATATCTGGAGGTGCGTTTCTCAAACAACTTCAATCGGTACCGATTGTTTTTCAATGCTGTTTTATAAATCGTAGTGCTTCCTTGAAGAATTTGAAAAAACTTAAAACATCAGCTTGCGTAATTTATACCGTGGAATGCGGCAAAGTCGCTCACTCATTTTCGCCAAAATTATCAGTTAAAGGTGTTGTTCGTTAGCCTTTACATCGTAAGTCAACAGTGAAATTAGCACTGAAGTTATCAATTACTTGATCGTTTAACTTATCAGTGCGGAAAGATAAACAGGTTCACCTATGCGCTACGAAAAGTTTTTATTTCCGAATGGGCCTGCTGCATGCAAGAGATACAGCTGTGCGAATAGACTTTTGAGAGGTTAAATGACACGAAAATTACGATGGTTACATTAAAAAAGTCTGAAATACACTCCTTACTGCGCAATTTGCGTTGTTAGGAACGCGCTTTTTCAAATTTCCCGCGTCTGGGGGCAGTTGTCTAACGGAAACAATTAACGGCAACTCGCGGCTATTTCCGGTCAACTGAAACTGACAACATAACCTAAAAATCGGAGCTCGTGATATCGTGAAATGAAATGTAGAAGGATTGCGTTAGATATATATTTAAAGTTGATCGATTTGGTTACCGCATAAAGCGTATATGGACCACAAAAAGAGATCACGTTGGGTTTGTGAACATACTGAAGGAAAAAACAAGCAGTGAACTCCAACACAATGTGTTGATAAGGCGCGTCATTAACTCGCAAATATCAACCCCTTTAGTTTTCATTTACAGAGATTTCAAAATAGGCAAACAGCACAACAAGAGAATTCACGATCCAACACTGCGAGGTCAAAGACGCACCTTGACGAGACCGTGTATCGTGAAAGTAGGAAGCTAATCGAATTTAAGTTTTTTGATCTGCCTCAAGCAAAATCTTATCAGATTCTTGAAGAAAAGTGCTACGGAATAATTTAAGCGAAGAAGGAAAAATTCTGTCGAACTCCTAGAAGATAAAGTCGATTTAAAGGTATTTTGGGGCTAAAATACCCAAATCACCGGTAGTAAAAATCCCGTTATATTATTGAAAAGAAATTAACTCGATATAAATGCAATTGCATTATATAGTCTTGATTTTGTTATTTTAAACGTATTTCCACGCAAAGAAGTTCAACCATGTCGTTGCTTTATTCATTCATGAATTGAAAGTAAGCAATCTACATCCCGAAAATCTACCGATTTGCCGTAAAAAATTGCAGAAACTTGATATACCAGGTCGATGCACCCACTCGTTGAATTTACCAACCAATTTTGTGAGTGCAAATGTGTAAGAATCAATATGCTATAGTCATTTTGGGTGCATTTATTTTTCATGAAACAATAATAATTTCAATCCCGAAAAACCATCAATTTTCCGTATAAAATCGAAAAAATCAAAATATGTCAACTCCCCGACGTGAAAATTAGATTCTACGTATGTAAATACTTATGTATCGATATGCTGAATAGAAACTAGGTGTGGATAGTCAGAAGCCCGCGGCAACATTAATTCAACAGAAAAACTGTAAAAATTAGATCGGATTTTAGCCGCTTTGCCCGCCTCTCCTCGTTACTTACAACAAACCGTTCTTATACTCATCTCAAAATTTTTCTCAGAGCTTTGCGTTATTATTAGCTTCCATTTAAACTCCGGTTCGATGGCCGAATCGGCTGCCAAAAAAGCAAGCCACTGTTGAAGGGTTCTATGAGAAATTCGTGATATTATCGGCTCTCAGGAAATCACCCCATGGCTAAAATTGGTGGTATAAATGTTTAAGTGCTTAAAATAATCGTATTCAAGAAACTAAGGAATTAAACTATGGAGTCAATTTCTTTTTAACAATATAACGAATTTACTACCGGTGATTTAGCTATTATAGCCCCAGAATACTTTTAAAGCGCCTTTGCGTTCCAGAATCTCGACGGAATTTTTTTTTTATTTTATTTTATTTTATTTTTGGCTTAAACGATTCAAGAAACATTGTAGTTAAAAATATAAAGATTTTTCGATTTGGACGTATAAAAAATGTTTAACTCGTTCAGGCACACCGTGTATTGTATGGAGTACTGCTGTTATTCGACCGTTGTCTTCAGGTCAAAATTCTTACAAAGAAGCCCCTTGCAAGAGGCGAATTTTTTGTAATTTCTCCCAGTTTTTTCAGCGTTAGGTATGTAAATGAATTGCTTGTCAAATTTTGAGGTCAATTATATTTAATTGTAATTTATTCTGTCTTTTTTTCCCCTTCATTTTATTTTTCGTAAGGAGGAGTCGAGGTTTTGTTGATTTCTTCGGATTTCGATTACTGTAACTTCTCTTCTATTCGGCCGATTTTTATGAATGAGGTCTCTTTTTATTTGTGTTTTAACGGAGAGTAAGGAAAAAATTGATAAATACATGCGAAACAATTTTTTTTGAAAATTGGATGAATCCTAGCGTGACGGTGAAATGGTTAATGAAGCGTGAGTAATTGGGGTACGGGTATCGGCCGCGTTGGGACCCAAGGCGGCCCAAGGCCAATTGTTCTTCGTGACGCCGACGCAGTGATCAGGAGCGTGGGGACGAGAGGGCTGAGTGGACTCCTGTATGAGCCACGTTTAGCAAATGGTCTAATGAGTCTCGAGGCTCATCACAGATTGCACTTACCACTATCCTGCTGGCCCCGGCTATCAGAGCAAGGAGTACCAACTTTTGAAAAGGATAACAGTGGTGTGGAGATATGACAAAGCAACGTTGTGAACAAAACTGAGT